ACCCAAAACCCCAAAACCCCAAAACCCCTTCTAGCCAATATAATGGTTGAATTGAAATTAAACATAATTAATAAAAATAATACTTTTGGAAAACTTTGTCAAAGGTCAATGGGTTGCAATTGCATGAAAGAAGTAATTTCATAGTTCCTTATTAGCTATTTAGAAAGACAAACATTTGAAGAAGGATACTATTGTAAATATTGAGAGAAGAGCTAATTAAGATACTTAAACTAATATTAGTAATGATACTAGTCGTGGATAATATTTTTAAGGACCTCCTCCTCCTCCTGAATAGATAACGGAAAGTTTTAATGACATAGAGATTTAAATCAGCAACTTAGACGAGAACATAAAGAAAGTTGACTCCCAAATTGAAACAACTTAAGATGAAAAACTAGAGAAAGAAAAAGAATTAGGTAAAGGACTTGATGAGGTAAATTAATAATTATGCTAAGCTTTTAATAGAAATAGTTTCATTTAACGTTATAGAACCTTGCGGCGGACATTCTAATTAAAAGTAATCTAGAAAAGAGATAAAGACCATGAAGAGGGAAGGAAAGCAGTTTAGACTATTCACTAAGATAAGATCAAGGAGGCTGAACATTTGATTGAGGAGGTGAAGAAAGAGAAACAGATGAATTAAAATAAACCTGGTGGAGCATCTATTCAGAATTAGAGTAATTTGAATTAAAACCAGAGCAAAATGAATAAGCAGTTTAGTAGCAGAGTAGTAGGAGGGCCTCCTTAAAACTCTCAGTTGAATAATCGATCTCAAATTTGAATCCTGATCACAATGGTAAAATATATAAATAACAGATACAATAGTAGGACATCAACCAATGATGAATGCAAATGGAAGAGTCCCAGTCAATGTTAATGTCACAGTTAATAAACAGGGTCAGTAAAATAATCATGTCTGATATCCAATATATTCTGGTATTACTAATTTATTCTGAAAATTGGTTTTAATAAGTATTTTATAGAATAAATATTAATCCATATGTTCATTGATTAATTCATAAATTTTAATTTTCCTTCAGATAGCCAAATAAGCTATTATGGGGTTTTGGGGTTTTGGGGTTTTGGGGTTTTGGGG